CATTTGTAACTCAAGGTCTTCATCTTTTATCAGTCCATATATCTAAAGCAGAAGAAGAGTTTTTTTATGATGGGTGGATAACTAATCATACATTTTGGAACAAACTTTATTATCAATTCAAAACTTATTCCTCTTAATATTGCCTCCAACACTCATTTTTAGTGATGGTATGCTTCAGCATCATACAGATGTTGATGAAAAATGCTTAGCATGCATTAGCTTGCCCTTTTTCCCCTTTATGTTGTGAAGCTTCTGCATAGAGACCTTGTACACCCTTTATAGAACTTCAATTTTTCATGAAATATGTGATGAAATAGTCATATGCAAGAGTGATGCCACTTTTTTTTTTTTTTTTTTTTTTTTTTTTGTAATAATACGTTTATTTTATTTATTTTTTTGCTTGCATTGTTATCTTCTGTAAACTTCTAGATTCCGCATTTGTAACTCAAGGTCTTCATCTTTTATCAGTCCATTTGTCTATCAGCATGCTCTTTTACATCATCATACTGAATTGTCATGCAATGATGAATTTGTGTAAGTTTTATTTTTTTTTTTTTTTGCTTTATTAAAATGTCACAGTATTTCATTATTCTTGCTTCATGTGCTGAGGCAAGTGCACTGCCAATTTGTTGCGTTGTTTCTTTCGTTTCCGTGCATGCCACAAGCCTTCTAACACTTTCTTGCATACCTGACTCAACAATGAAATATTGTAACGCTATTTTTAATACAGCCTTACCTGTTTCTTTCTGAATTACCTATGGTATTAATGTAGGTTAACATTTGAGGAAAACAAATAAATATAACTGTCAACTCAGCAAAAATGTTGCATTAAAAAAAAAAGAGGGAGAGTGTTAAAAATGTCTGTCACAGAGCTTTTCCAACTTTGATGGCTATTATGTTGTTATGCAGCCTGTTAAGTGTTGCCAATCCAAGATATAAAATCTTCAATTTATTTTCTTTGCTACCTGCAAATTACTCAATTCTCAAAACCTAGCTAATTTTCTACAATTCAGCTTTCCGTTAAACTGTTTATTTATCTTTCAGATTAGAACTGTATACTTGCTTAACCAACTGAAGGATTTGAAAGTAGTAAATGTATTAATAATTTAAGCAATGAAATTTCCATTAGCAGACTTTGCACTTTACGAGACTCTCCCCCACTGACTGATAATTCATTAATCTCTGAGCTAAGGAATTCGCATTTAGCAGACATTTCTTAATAATGCACAAAAGTCTTGGTTCTTTAAGTATCTGATAATGGAAGGTTTTAATTAATGTAATTTACATCTTTTACTGATAATTTTTATGAACATTTGAAACATTGTTAAGATTTTTTTATAATGTTCTTAAGTAAAGATATTTCCCAATGCCATAGATACCTCAACACAATAATAGTTTTTTATATAATAATACTTTTTATATGCCTTCTTTCATTAGAATCTTTACTGCTTATTATTATTTTTGAAATTGTTATTTTGTTTTCATTTTCTATAATTTCTTTGTGTGTAGGATAAATAGTTGTATTTGTTTGTTTCTTTTAATGCAGTTACTTAAATTCTTTTCTTTTTCATTGGTGCAGATCTTTTGGCATGAGTAAATTAGATGGAATTTTAAAGATGCAGGTCCTAGCATTTTGTTGATTGATACACGCTTCTGTCTCCCTGAAGAAAACTGTGAATCAGTCATTTCTTTCTAGTAATGATAATAAATTTAATATTTATTATGGAATCAAGGGAATAATTATAAAGTGTGCAACAGTTTTATTAATTATGTTGCAGCATCTGTTTATTATTTGATTCAAAATTACTTAATCATCAATAAAGGTAGGCTCTGTTAAAAAAAGATGTTCTGAAGTTTCAAATGTGTATTGATATATACAGTTTTTTCTTAATAAATTTAACTTTTGAAGAATTTATGTTTTTTTGTTCAAGTGAAAATTCAGTTTTTGTGATATGTTAATCAACTTTTTTATGAAATTAATTATCCACTTTTTATTTCATTTCAAAATGCTTAGCATTTTGTATTCATAATGCAGTGGAACTTCAATATACATCCACTTTAAAATACATCTTGTTTGGATGCAAAACGTATTTTCTTTTGAGACAGTGCTACGACTGCTCATGAATGTCAGTATGCCTGTTGTTAATATTTAGTAAACAACCCACACTGTACTTCCAAATTTTCAAGTAATTGTGGGGTTCCTCCCATACTTTTTTTTTTTTTTTTTAATTCCTTTTCAGTAAGTTTTAGGAATGTTAATGAGAAGATTCAAACAATGAAAAAAAATTGTTAGGATCATCATGGATGTGAAAAAAGAAATTGTTTAAAAGTGAAAGATGGCATGTGTGTCTGGGACTTGGCTATAGTATATGAGGAGTATTATGATATCTACAATTGTGAAAAACAAAGATGCTGTTAAATTGGCTGGCTGATACTGTGAAGGGGTGAAATTAACTACCAGATAAAGGGTCAGAGGCATTAGAATCAGTTGAAAAATTGTTTTTGAAGTGGATAACAAAAAAAAAATAAACAGTATTAGGCAGTGCTTCATTTATGTACACTATGTATTTAGTTCACTACATTTGTATTTTGGTGTTAAACATTGTTCTAATAATAACAACAAGGCTTTTTTATATAAGGATGCGGTAATTATTATCCCTTTACTGCTTATTGGAAAAGTTCATTTGGTGTATACATCCAAGGATCAGGAACGGATTAATGACATATATCTAGGTTCCACTGTATTGCTTATTTTTTAGTAGTATTCATAATTATGTTTACTGTAGTTTTTGATAAAGTTAAATTCACCTCTTTTATGCTATTGATTTTCTATTTTTATGTATTTTTTCTGTTAATTTTATTTCAGTTTTTACATTTGCATTTTAGGCTTTTCAAACCTGAGAACACATTTTTCAAGAAAATTTCATTGCAGTCTTTGTTCATATGAAACAAATTTTCCATCCCATTGGAAACGCCACAAGTTAATTCATACGCAAGAACGTCCTTTTGTGTGCAAGTTGTGTAATAAAGCATTTAATCAGAAGTGTAATTTGAAGGCCCATCTGAATGTGCATTCTAGCGAACATCCTTTTATTTGCCATGTTTGTTTGGAATGTTTTTCTTTTGAGGATTCGTTAAATCAGCACATAAATGTACATATTAGGGGATTTAATAATTGATTCCTTTTTTTAATATGTATATAAGTTGTCTATTAAAAGTTTTAAATCATCAAAAGCTATTCTCAGAGAGATTTTAAATGGTTTTATGTGTTATTATGGCACAAAAAACATCATATTGACTTTTCTTTATATGTATGCAAAATAAGTATATACATTTTACTGTTGTAAATGTACTTAATGTAAAAAAATTTGGGGAAATGCACCATGATTTATATTTTGTCATTTTCATTCAGTTTGTTAGAAATTTACTTGAATAAAAAATAAATGGCATCTAATATAAATGTGGGAAATTTATAATATTCAAATTATTATTATAATTTGAAGTAATCTGTACTTTGTTTTTAACAAAACCCAGAAATACTTCAGTGTGTATTCTGAAATTATTCTTTTTTGTAAACAATTTCAGCTCTGTATTACATGTGCATTAGTAAATTTAGCATCTTAAATTGCTAAAAACTGACTGTTAAGAAATTCATAATTTTTGTGCATTTACTTAAAGTGTAAATTATAACTAAATTAATAACAGATTAAGTGTGCTCAACAATGTTTATATAAAAATAAGTAAGACTGATGTACTTGTAATTTATGATTATTCATTTTTAATTCTGGTAGATTCAGTAAACTTCATTATTTTTAGTAATTTATTTCATTAGTTTAAGGTTACCTTCATGTAAGGCTTTTTTAAAATGTATGTATCGTATTCTTTTATTTAGTCATTTCATACTTATATCAGAGATTTGATCCTTTTCCTACTTTAGATAAATTTTTCTTACTTACTTTTATAGCATTAATAAATTCAATAAATAAATAAATTGAAATTCATTGCATTGTTGCATTAACTAATGTAATAGTTATATCATTTTATTCTGCTACTATGAATTTAATGAATTCTATACTGAAAATGTTTTACTTTTATGTCAAATCTTGTTTTATTTATATTTTATTTATTTGAAACTTTTCCCACTTTGAAGCGAAAAGAATATTTGTAAGATATATAGTATTTACAAAATGTTATTTTTTTTTCATATTTTACCAATAGGATATTCATTTCAAACCTGTTGTGTGTAGTTTGTATGTACATAGCATGTTTATTTGGTCCCACATTGTTAAGAAATTAATTTTTTGCTGTTTTTCAAGTTATGGAAAATTTTTTGTCTCTTTAAATATATTAATCATCTTAAAGTAATTGAAATTTCTATCATAAACTATAAAATTAACTATTTAGCATATTAATAATTTGCCAAAGAATGAGAGAGCTTTTGTATAAAGTATGAATATTAAATATTAATGAAATTCAAATATATTTTTATATGCATATACATTATTTTATAGTATATCAGAAATGCTAATACCTTATTCATTCATTATTCATCAAATCTAATTATATTCTGTGTATCTCAGAATTAGTTGCTTAGATTCCAGTATTGGTTTAATTTTAGTTTTATTTCTTATAGAGTGTAAAGAGAGTAATGTTGTTTATTTTGTTATAATATATATGTGAAATATTGTTATTGAATTAAAAGGTCAATATTTAAAAGAGGTGATTTTTTTCAAATAAAATTAAGTTTAAAAAGCTCTTACATCTTAGTTTCTTCTAAAACTAAAAGAACTTTGTAAAGATCATCTTTTATTATGAAATGTCATTTTGTTCATAACCTAAAAATGTTCTCTTAAGTAAATCTAAGAAAACAAGTCCAAAAATTTAATCAAAGAAAAGAGTAGCAAAATTTTTAGTAGTTCAACTTTTTTTTTTTTTTTTTTTTTTTTTTTTAATAGTGAATAGTTATTATTAATTTTTTTTAATTTGGATAAAATAAAGGCTTATTAGAACTTGCATCATAAACTATGTATTTAGATATATATTTTTAAAGTCAGTTCTATTAAAGAAAAGTATTTTTATATGTTTGATGTATGACTAATTTTTTTAGCCATTTTGTAGTAAAAGGTTTAATATTTATGTGATTATTACTTATTTAAAAATGCTTTGCTGCACTTATCCTGTTTAATGATGTATGTAAAGTGGTGATAATAAATATTTTTTTCTGTAAATCTTATTTGGGCATATCTGTAGAATTTGTTTCAGATTCATTAATTGTCTAAAATAAGGATGTTTGCACTTCATTTACAGTTCAAACTTGTTCCCTCTCTCATAATTTAAGTTCAGAAAGAACAATTTTATGTTAGGATATAACAGTATGAATATTTGCTCTTTATAGTTTAGATGTATTAAAATCTTTTATAGTTCTGCTATTTGAATGTATAGAAATATTTGTATATGAGTATGGAGTGTAAATATCAGTGATTATCAACATTGCTTAATATACTTGTATTCCAGGTGTATAATTTAAGTCAGAATACTTGCAACTTATAATTTTGAAAATTATATCTAGTAGTTATGAACAATAATGTAACAAGCTAATTTTTCATTAAGTTGCAAAGATGTAAAATGCATTTTAAGCAATATAAAAAAAATTAACAGCATAAATTATGCATTCAAAAATTATGAGTGAAAACTTGGTATATTCCTTTTAATTGTTAACTTCAGTTTGAATTTTTTTTAATAAGTATTTTAGGCTAAATGAGGAAAATTACTGATTGTTGTAGCTTAAGAACATCCGGGATGGATGAATAATCAGACCAGCGGTCTTTTAAATATTTATTTTAAAACTTAATAAAGATTTCTGGATTAATAAGCTAATTTTGGAGTAAGAGCTAATAAGGATAAAGCTAATTTTGGAGTGATAGCTACCAAATAAGATTTAAATATCATTAAAGAAGAGTCCATAAATAAAAGTAATAATAATAAAGAGCAAAAGAGAAATATCAGGCAATTGAATTTAGCCATAAGTAAATGACAGTTATAAATTTAAATGGTTTATTTGCATTTCTGTTTGTCTGTAGCTTCATGGAGGGGAGGGGCTGATAACTTTTTATTTCTAGAATACTAGTGAGAGAAAATTATATTGTAATATTATTCTAACTATATTTTAGATCTCAATACTTTCATAGTTAAACTGACCATTCTAATCATAGCAATAGTCATTAGATTCTTAGATGTACTATTTATTTGTAAATCAGATTCTGCTGCTAGAACAAATTGCTAATTAAAAAATTCTATAATTTATCTCTCAGTGCAGCAATATAAGGATTGGAAACAATCTTTTTACTGTCGTAACAGTACTGTGGCATTTAAATTTCAAATGATGTGTTATTGATGCTGTGTGGATTATTTTGAATATATTAGCATATTGTTATTCCAGATTTTGTAGTTTTTTTTATAATTTTAAAATCTGATTTTGTAAGAAAATTATTTTATTTAAAAAATCAAATTTAAAATCTGAAGTATAATTTTTCTATACTTGTATGTCATGTGCTTTGTCAGTATTTTCAAGTGATTGCTCTTTTCGTGTTTTTCCATAATATTGATAATAATTAAATTTTGATGATAATTAATATTAGTTGAGTCATTACAATATCCTAAAACATAAAACTTGGGGCACCGTATTAGTTCTCCAAATCACCGTATCTGATCCAAATATTAAATGGCATCTTGCAGACACAGATTCATTCAATGAATGGAAAATCATTAAATTTCATACATTTAAAATGAAATGTGTTCAATTTTCTGTATCTTAGGAAACCTATTTAATACATTTTATGTTTTAACATCATTTATTTATGTACAAATATAAAAAAAACTATTAATAGTAAACTCCACTATTTAATCAGATTTCATGTATTTATATTCTGGTACAGTGTAACTTCATTTGAACAAGTTCAAATAGAATAGTATTCAACTGAAATCATGAAAGTTGTCCCTCACTCCATCTGGTTCTTTCGCTGATTTCATAGCAACATAATTCTGCTCTTTTGACCACTGCACATTTATTAGGAAAGATAATTTTTCCATGTTAGCATTATTAACATGAAATGACAACAAAGAACTGAATAATTTTGTTGCTTTCACTATTATATCTAGTAATATAAGTCTTCAAAGATTTGTAGTCTGATCCTGTTTTTTGCTTAATTTTTTTTTCTTTTGTGTAGCTGTGAATTTTTTTAGACTACAAGATTAGTTAAACTGCCATCAGCATCTTTTCCTTTGACATTTATTTCATCTTTGGGATAGATAATGCAGTTTTTGTACATGAGAAGTTTTCAAGTTTCATTCATTAAAACAAGAAAACTCTTAAATTTTCAATCTATATATCAATACATTCTAAGCAATCATTGACATTAACATGTCCAAAATGTTTATTCTCTTCTTCCAAACATTTATCATACCTCTATTGTAGTAGATCTATATCATCTCTCTTTTGTAGTAATTGCTTTGTTTAAAAGTAAAGCAGTTTAAAAAATTAAAAGCCACAAATCCAACCTTGATGCATTCACACTGATTTTGAAAATGCTTTCCCCAGCTATTAGTTTAATCCTTGAAAATGAAGACATGCTAAAAAAAAAGTAAGGGTTCAGGTAGCTTTAGGAAGAAATAGTAATGCTTGACTTAAAGTGGAGATTAAATTTTTTGGTTTATAATACATTTATCATTATTTTTTAAGTCTAATTTTAGTTTTTTCGATAATAAGGTCTATATAATAGAAAATAGTAATAATTATTAATTTTGAATTCAGATAGAACTTTTTGAATTTTATGATAATAGATGAATGAACAAGTTTCGTTGATATTTTCATATTATGTATAATTTATTATATTTTTCTTGTTAAAATAAAGCTATAAAATATTATGTATTTTTCAGCTTTTGTTCCACCAATATCCAAAAGAACATCCAAGTGTGTTACTCCAAGAAAACTTAGTTGTGAGTTTTGTTCATATACAACAAAATATTTATCACACTGGAAGAGACATAAATTGGTTCATACTCAGGAACGACCGTTTGTCTGTCCAATCTGCAGAAAAGCATTTAATCATAAATTTTCTTTGATAGGTCACATGAGACTGCACACTGGTGAAAAACCATTTATGTGTGATATATGCTATCGCCGTTTTACTACTCGTTCTAATTGGAGATCGCATTTTGCTAGACATAATAAAATGTAACTAAAATTATCCATTTTTATGTATGATTATATGAAGTGAGTAAATGTGGAGCATTTATTACATTATGATTGCAGATTTTGTGTTCATGAACTGCAGCAAAATTTTAAACGAAATTCTATGTTTCATTGTTAATGTTTGCTTATGTTTTGTCTTAAATTTGGTTTGTGAATTTTATAAAAGAACATGAAAAAGTGTAGAAATTTACAATACTTGAATAATTATTTTCTTTTCCTTTCCTAAAAAGTGTTTAGTATTTGTAAATTTTATCAGCAATTCTTTTTTATTTCATGTATAAATGGATTACATTTCAAACAATTTGGTTATTTGATCTCAAGAAATATAGTTTTTGATGTAAAATGAAGTAATTGCTTTTCCCCCTTGCTTTCTTGATAATACTGGAATAGAAATTACATATGCGTGTTTTTTAATATATATATATATAAACAAACAAACATATGCAAGGTTTGGAAAAAGGCATAATAGTCTTTAGTTCTTGACACACAAACAAGGCTTAAAAAGAAGCTGACTACATGTTTTATTTCCTTAAATATTATTTCTAGACTTGTATTTCTGATTGTAAAGAGTCTCAAAATAAGGTGACTGTTTTATAAGTTTATTCTAGTTTTACCTCTAAGGGAATATGGGAATTCGTAAAAAAGGGCTCTATGGGATTGCATAAAAAGTTATGTTTGATATTTGTGAAACCTTCCTAAACACAATGTCAAAATTACTCTCATAAAATTCTGCACCTTTTTTCGAGAAATTTTGCAATGAAAGTGTTTACAACTAGTAGTTAAAAGAAATGAAGCTTGTACCCACTTTTTTTTTTTTTTTAATATTCTTATATATTAGGATTGCACAACAATTTAACTTGATTTAAAGCAGTGTGTTACTATTAAGGCAAAACACAGAGAATTTAGTGATATATATGGTTTAATAAGGGTTCATAGATGATGCATAAGGATAATATTTATATTTTAAGCTATTTGATCCTTAATTTTTCTATTATATTTAAGAGCTAATAAAGCTTTATGTTTGTTTGAATTTTTAGGCACTTTTAAACACTGATTTGTACACTAGAGAAATTTTATTTTAGAAATTAAAATGTCACTTAATAATTAGATGTGATATCATATTTATAATAAGTTGGATTTTGATGGCGTAGATTTATCTTTCTTAAATAAGTTATGTATATGGTATTAACTGTGGTCTGCATTTAAGAATAAATTACCATTTATATATTTACTGTGTATGTATATTTTTAATTGCTACTGTAGAAATATTAGCTCTAATAAATTGAATTATAACTTTGTCATCAGTTTTTAAATTCTTTAAAAATGGTTTATATCAATAATTTGATGTAAAGTTTGTGGAAAATTCATGTGTGTGTTTTCACACATTAATGCTGTTCTCATATGAAACACATTTTCTTTCCAGTTTTTGCTATTAAGAACTTATCAGGAAGGCAATACAACATATCTGAAGGAAGCGTCATCAAAAGACTACAGTGTGAACTTTGTTCATACACAACAAATGATAAATCTCGTTGGAAACGACATAAACTGGTTCACACTCAAGAACGTCCATTTGTTTGTCATACTTGTCACAAAGCTTTCAATCACAAATGTTCGTTAACAGTTCACATGCGTATTCATACTGGTGAGAAACCTTTCAGTTGTGATGTATGCCTTAAACGTTTTTCTGCTCGATCTAATTGGAAGACGCACGTGTTTAGACACCAGATATCATAATTATTTTTCAATTATTATTATTTTATTAATTGCTATCAATTTAGAATTTTATATTATTTTTAAAAATATTAAATTAAAAATGGCAGAGTAAAGGGCCTTTTTTTTACATGGTATATATATATATATATATATATATATATTGTTCATAACTTTTTTATGCTAACAAATTTGATGCTTTTCCTATTTTGCTTCCAACATGGTATGGAAAATTCCATTTCCTATCTATAACTAATACACATTCACCATTTGATATTTCAGTAGCTCTTCATTTCTGTTATATTTATCAAGTACTTGAAAAAATCATTTTTTTCTCCCATACAAATTATAATTTTTACTGGTATGAAACAGCAATTAATCTTTAGGAAAAAAATTACTATTCATTCCTTGAATTATAAACATTGAAATTAGGACTTAGCCAAATTAGACAAAAGTTTAATTTAGGTGCAACATTACTCAACAGTTGTGTCTGGTTGATAAACTGAGTGAAGAAAAAAAATGAATGAATAAAATTTTATTATTAAATAAAATATCATACAACTGTGCTAAATGAGCATAATTTTTTAGCTATCAATATTTTATGGCTTTTGTCACTTGATCTGATGGATATGCAAATATTAATAATAGAACCTGAAAAGAACTAAAGGTGTGTGACTTTACCTGTTTTGTTTATTATTAAAAGCTTTCAATATGTGGCATGTTGATGATCGAATTTTTCTGATTAAAAAATATTTATTTGTGAATTAATTTTGATGTCTAATATTTTATATGCTTTCATAATTTTTCTACAAATTTGAGCATAAATAATTTGTTTAAAAATAAAAAACTTTTTTTTTTAATTTTGTTTTGTAGTTTAACTCAATATTTTCCTTATCACAAGAATTAGTTTTTACTCATATAAAATAATGATTATTCTTAAGATTTTTTTCTTTTTTTTTTTTTTTTTTTTTTTTTTTTGCTTTGCTTTGCTTACATGCTAGATAGATTTTACAGCATAAAATATTGCAATTTACATTAAAAAAAAAAAAAAGATAGATAGTATCGCAAAGAATTAATCATATTTCTCTAATATGGTTGGTAGCTGTTGGAAACATGGGAGAAGTTAATTAAATGTATTCATTAAATAAAATATAGGAAATTTCTTGTATAACTGGGAATTGTATTACTGGGAGCTGTTTATGTGTGATATTGCCCCTCCCTTTTTTTGTAAGTATAATCATTTATTCTTTTATTATGTATGCTAACTTTATAATAGGGTATGTGTCTTAAAGTTTCTTCATTATATTACATCAAGTTCTGTTGCTTAGAGATTTTAAGAAGGAAAATATAAAACTTCAAAATATCAGCATATTTGCATTTAGAAATATGACTTTTTTCACCATTGTTTAATAAAGGTAGAAAAAATACAGGGGGATTATAAATTGTTTTTACAAATTAAGAGGGGTGATAGAACCTGTCCAAACGAGGAATAATTTCCATAGAACATAGGGTCGCATTCCACTCTGAGAGACAGAAAAGAGGAATATTAAAATTTCAATCTGAACTTACGAAAGTGTTGGGAAACCGAATGAATGAGACCAAAAGTTGTGTAATCAGACTTATTGTTTAGTGGAAAACTCATAGAAAGTGCTCAAAATGCCAACAACTCACTCTTCCATGTCTGGCATTCGTACATTTCACAAACATCCTGCATTGCTTTTTGAGATGGCAAAAGAACTGGTTTCTCACATTCTTCGATCAACACTGGAAAAGGCTGGATGACTTGGAATTCAACCAGTGGAAACCACTGTTTGTACAATCTTCATGCTTCGCGTCCATTCCCTTTTGCTTCACTGTATGTGAGGTGAATATCTGCCAATTCCTCGTATGTGTACTCCGCCATAGCATTCACAAATGTTTTGGATGATTACTAAGTTAATACTTGAAGCGATGATGTTGTGCCGTTTTCAAGGACATCATTTGCTCATATCAGCTTTCTCTGGTACCAATTAAGAGCAAAGCGATGCTTCTTCACAGTGCAAATTCGCATACAGTTAATTCTTGATAGTCCTTAGAAGATACTCTCCTTGTTCTTCCTCGGTGTGTTTCTACTTTCCTCATTTCTGCCTCTCAGAGTGGAATGCGACCCTATGTTCTGCAGTATTTATTGCTTGTCTGGATGGGTATTATCACCCATCTTCATTCGTAAAAATAATTTATGTGCATTATATATACAGTATTATTTTTCAGGCAGGTATTAGGTAAACTGTACTGAATGAGAAGATTGAAAAAGTATTTAAGTTTGCATGCGTATTAGAGAAGAGCACTAACTGTATTAACATGTATAATAAATATAATAAATGTAGTTTGGTATGTCATCAATATGGCATAAAAATTATGTTATTCATAAAATGTGTTGTTCAGTGTAGGTTTCAAGTGTTTATTAAATGAATTATAGTGTGAATTTGTGCCACATTTTTTTATTGTGTTTTCTTTTTTGAAGAGCCATATTTTAATGGAACAGAGATTGTATTTTACTTTCAGTTAAGATTTATTTGCTGGTATTGGGCTGTACTATTAGAATGTATGATAATTAAATTGAGGTAGTCAGTTTTGAAATAAGAACCATTATGTTCAATTTAAGCATTGTTGTATACAGCTATGCAATAAATCGTAGGGAATTCAGTGCCATTTATTATAACCATAGTATCACTTTAAATATTTCAAGCAAATGAATCTGTTTTCTGTCACCTGATGCATATAGAGTGTCTATAATTAACTTTGAATCGGACATTATGATAATTAATATTACGACATATTCTGACTTAAAGCAAAATAGTCATTCAATAAAGTGTTGATTTTTATTTCTTTTGAGTGATAATCAGAAAAATGAAATATTATAGATTTTTAAACTGATGTCATTAATTATTTAGACATTGAATTCATTGTTTTTTATTGTGTTTGCACTGTTATCCATACATGTTTGTTCTGTTTTTCTGATAATTCTTTCTACCTCCCTTTTCTCAAGTGATAGCAAACATATGGTTAGCATAAGTTTTTTTTAACTAAGTTATTTTTAAATGTAGTTAATTCCCTCTTTATTTCATTTAATATTAATAGTAAAATTTGAATTCGTACATAAAAGTGCTTGCCATATCTAGTTGTTTACATTGAAATATTAAGCTTTTTGTATATTGTGAGCAGTGAAGTTGAATAATTTTATCGTTATTATATTTATTTATCTTTTGCTGTTAAAGGAAATTTTAAAAAATTAATGTTGTATTTCTAAGTGAAGTTGTTTTAAATTTTATTAAAGAAAATTTTTTTGCTTATTTTATTATACTGTTGAAATAAAAATATTAAATTAATCAATGATTGGTATTGTTAAAAATTCAAGAGCTGGAAAGAGGAAAGAAAAGCAGGATATGATCAGTTAATGTTTTTTATTGCTTGGCTCTGTGAAAAATTATATTCTGTTATCAGAAAACATAGGGAAATTTTTTGGGGTAACAAATGTTATCATATGAAGGAGTTGGTTTAGTATTTCATTTTTAAAATATATTATTAATCTCTTAAAATGTACACTAAAACCTTGAATGTGTGAACATTATGTGTAAACATTGTTACTGATGAATGTATCTGTAAAATCAACTAATTAGTGATAGTTCATATGATCTTAGTTTATTTATTTTATGCTTAAAACATAAAAAGTTGAGGTCTTTCAGCAGAACAGAAGTTGACAGAAGAAAAAATTACCATGTATCAGATCTCATTCAGATGTTTTTAATGATATTTTTGACTGCATACATGTATGTTTGTGTAATGTATTAGAGAGTTATAGAAACCGAGTTCTAATATATTATTTGAGAATTAGAACAAATATATTTGCATGCTAAGTTTGACCATCTTGCTTTTCAATTTGTGGTTGTTATCAGGGAAAATATGCAGTATTAATAAATTTAATGAAAGAACCAGTAATTATTTCATGGATTTTGTTAGTTTATTTTGCATCTACAGTACAAAGTCCGTAATCCAGACTCGTTGGGACTTCGGTGATTCCGGATTAAGGGTTTTTCCGAATTATAGATCATCATTTTAAATCTGGTAAGATGGCATGCAGAAATTATACAATTAAAAGTATGTGGTATGGTGTATTTAATTATGGCAAAGCACACTGGGGCTATCTGCCTAAGTGATGATGCCTTTCGTGGAGGACTTTCTAAGGGAAACTGGCTCGTATACATGTTACACATGGGGAAAAACCACGAAAACGCCCATGCAGCCAGCCCGTTCGCGGGATTCGAACCTCAGACTGAACTACCAGTGGTTCAGCGACTTTACCGCTCGGCCACTGGTGGCCCAATTAAAGTATGAAACCGTAAATTTATGAAATAAAGAGCAATTATGATCTAAAGGGTATCAAAATTTACAAAAAAAAAAAAAAAGGTTAATATTTATTTGTTTACTTTATTAAACATTTCTTTCAATGTAAGTTGTTTAAGTTGCTTCGTTTTTATGCTAAACGCGCATGCCTAAAGCTTTAAAAAAAAAAAAAGTTTGTTGCTTTGAGGTCCGGATTATAGATCATTCCGGATAATGGCCGTCCGGATTACAGACTTTGTATTGTATTAAAATTTTTAGCAGTGCTGCAGATCTTTCATAAACTGCATAGTTACTAGATTTTATATCTCTACTAACATTCTTTTGTATCATAATTGCTTTAATAATCAAGTTTTTTTCCCCCTTCCCATGGAATGAATTATAACTCTCTTTCTTTATAAATTATTGTTGCAGGTTCTTAAAATATAAATCAATTAATGTTTTATGAAAGTTTTTTGTAATTACTATAGATGTTGAAAATGTTTTGTATTATTTTTTCAAAGTTTATGTGTTTTTATTTACGCATTTTCTATTCTAATTTCATTCAAATGACAGAATTTCATTTAAGTGTCTGCTTAAAATGTTATTGAAATCAAGTGTATATTTTTAAGAAGCTGTATATGGTGTCCATTTCTGTGAATTAACTGAATTTCATAACTACCCTTGCTTGGAATATTTGAAAGTAAGTTTAGTGTAATAGCGTCAACTGTGATGATGTGATAGCTGAATGGCTGCTTAACTTTATATATTTCCTAACTTACATTTATTTATAATGCTTAAGTGGATTTATTTTACTGGTCACACTTTAAGCCATATTTACAAATATCATTATTATGTTGTATATGAATGTATAATTGTATTTTTTCTTAATTAATTATAAATAAAATCATTTAATTGTTGTATAACATAAATTTTAAAAGAGGGTGATATTGTAATTTTAATGTAATTATTCTTAAATGTATGTACTCTTGAAATTTTCTGTGTAAAGTGATTTAAGTGGAAGCTTTTATAAAATCTTCTTACAGGCTTTCTTCTTTCTTAATTTTTTTTTTTTTTTTTTTTTCTTTATCAGAGCATATTCCTTTGATGAATGTCAAATGTGGTTATGAAGCTAAAATAATGATTGTTAATCTTCATGTCTCTAAAATTGTATGCTTCGTAATGGCATTAAAATATCTTTCAGCTATGAATAATAGGAAAATGCATGCTCTTATCTCTTATCACAAAATTCCATTTTAATTAAAAATATCTTTTTGATTACACTTTTATAAAAAATATCTTGTTGGAAATGAAATTCATTTGTAAGTTTATTTAATTTTATATGTAGATGTGGTGTTATTCATAAAACTTCATTTTTAGATTTTGATTTTATGTCTTAACAAACGATGTT